TGAGGTTCAGATCTGCATTGGTATTGAGTAATCGACTTCAGAGTTTCTTAAAGTAACATTACAACTTTTGTTGCTGGTGAAGACAGAGACTATTTTTCATTTTCATTTATTTCAATATGTATAAATCCTTTTCAAGGTCCCTTTCAGCTCTAATCCTGTGAACCTGTGCTCTCTCAAAAGATTAAGCATATATTTTAGGAAATTGTCTTTCAAATGTATTTATATGCTGATTGACTTAAGTGGCCGAATCTATAACTGAAAAAAAGCAATCTAGTTTTTTGTTTTCTTTTTTTGTTTTTTGTTTTTCTTTGTTTATTTTTTTTTTACCTCTCTAAACAATCTAATAGGGTTGATTGCATGTTGGGAAGGTTATTTATATAGAAATTGGTCATTAAAATGATCCCAAATCTTATTTGAAAAATAGTTGACACATTGGCAGCATAAGCCATGGTAGTAACGTAGGTTTTAATTTTACCTTACAACAGCACTGTAGAGATGAATGATATGTACCATATTAGAGTAGTTGTTAAGAACAGTTTCTCAGGGACTTGTGGTGAAAAATGCTATCCATCCCCAGAGAAAGAAATGATGGACTCTGAATGCAAATCAAAGCATGCTTTTTTTACTTTCTTAATTTTTCTTGGGTTTTTTTGGGTCTACAACATGACTAATATGGTAATATGTTTTGTATGACTACACATCTATAACCTATATCACATTTTTTTCCTTCTCAATGGGGGGCATGGAGGGAGAGAATTTGGAACTCAAATTTTTAAAGTGAATGTTAAAAATTGTTTTTACATGTAATTAGGGAAAAATACTAAAGATAAAAATAATAATTAAAAAAAGAATAGCTTCTCAGATGGACTCTGCAAAATTCAGCCCCAATAAAAAGCATACAGGTATAATACTACATGCTTCATCTCATTTTATCCTTAATAATCCTTACTTGGAGGTAGACAGGAGAGGAATTATTATTCTCATTTAAATATGAGGATGGTAAGGCTCAGACTTGTCCATTGTTATTTTTATTGTTGTTCAGTTGTTTTTCAGTCAAGTCTGACTCTTTGTGACCTCATTTAGGGTTTTTTTTGGCAAACATACTGGAGTGGTTTGCCATTTCCTCTTCCAGTTCATTTTATAGGTGAGGAAACTGAGGCAAACACAGGTTAAGTGACTTGCCCAGGCTAGGGAGTGTCTGAGGGAAGATTTGAACTCACAAAGATGAGGCTTTCTGACTCCAGGCCCAACACTCTTATCTACTGTGCCATGCAGCTGCCCACTGTCATGGGGATAGGAGTGTAAGATAGAAAACCCACCTATGATTCCCTTGTTACTGTGATCTAATGTATGAGGAAACTCTTTCTCCTCATGCAGATGGGTACATTGACTTCACCTTACAATCTTAGAAAGTTATCAGGAACTCTGAGAGGCTAAAAGAGTTGTCTAGGGTCACACAGTATATGTCAAAGGCAGGACTCAAACTCTGGTCTTCCTGACTTCAAGGCCAACCTTTTCTGTCAGCTCAGTGTCATAGAGCTAGTAAATGACAAAGCCCCTTTAACTCCAGGTGTAGGACTCTTTCCATGACATCACAGTAAATTGTGTGTTTTTCTGTTTTCATGTTTTGTTTTTGCCTTTGTTTCGTGGGGAGGCTAGTTCCTGACCCCTACTTACAGCTTATAGGAACTAATCCTTCATTTACCCCCAGTAATTAAAACTTCCCATACTCCCTAGAGCCACAACATTTGGAAGGAGGCAGGGAAAGAATTAAGCTATCCTTCTGTGTCTCACTTGACACAACTAATGTCTGACTGAATTACTGGAACCTTCAGTGGGGAGACAAGGAGACTAACAGACAAATGTAACCATTCTATTTTCAGACAAACAAGTGTTCACATGTTTTGAGATGCCATACATGAATTGTGCTGGTTAGACAGCAACATCTTTAAATAGAAATTGGTATGATTCAGATCCTGCCCCCTAAAGATATTTGTACATTAATGCCATACTTGGCTAATACGGCTGATACATTTCCTTCCTCTCCTCACTCACTCATGTTGCAATAAAGATTGTTGTTGTTTTTGGTTTTGAAGTTAAAGAATCCATTCAGTTTAAAACAAGTGATTAATCAAATTTGATACCTAACTTGAAAACCAGTTTTGTTTTGTTTTGGTTTTTTGCTGACTATAAAACTGCTTTATCTTTTCTTCTTAGATATTTTGAGAGTTGCCCTGCACTAAGATTATTTTGATCAGAACTCTGGAAAGTAGATCTCACATGATGTTAGCCAAGTCCCTTTCACCCTGAAAGCCTACATTTTTTCCTGCTCTAAGTGAGGATGCCTTCTTCCAAAGACCTATTCCAATTCCTCATTTGGCACAGATGAGACCCTGCATTCTCAGAGGCTATAACAATGTAGTAAAAATTCTTATAGATTGTTAAGAGATAGGTTTAAATAGAGTCCTAATTGAATCTGTTGTTCAAGGACTAGGTCCTATGCAGCCCCTTAACCTAGGTAAGCTCAAAGAACTTCATCACTAGTCTTTGATCATCATATGATTTTTTTAAGCTATAGCAACTTATGAAGACAGTCTATCAATACAGAAGTATTAAGACCTGTGTAAAAATTCAGCCCTACACATATTACTAAGATTTGTGGGAATGGTGTTTGTTGTTGGAATATGGCTCCACATGGGTATTCCTTGAGAGTAGCATTGTATATTAAGAAGATATACTTAAATGATGAAATTAAGGAAGAGCAGAAGCATGATGGAGAACATTTGAATTAACAGAAACATTATTGTTGTGGGAGAATATTGCAAGCCAACCTATCAATAAACAAGCATTTATTGTGCCAGGTACTATGCTAAGTGCTGAGGATACAAGGAAAAAGAAAAATCAGCCCCTGCCCTCAAGGAGCTTACATTCTACTGGGACAAACAACATATGCTAACCAGTATATACAAGATAATACAGAGTAGAAGGAAGGCACTAGCAAATGTGGACATTAGGAAAGGCTACCAGGAAGAGGCAATGCTTGAGCTGAGTCTTAAAGGAAAACAAGGACTCTAAGGGTAAGGAGGAAGAGTATACCAAGCATGGAGGACAGTCTGTGCAAGGGCATGAAAATGGGAAATGGAATATTATGTGTGAGGTACAACAAGAAAGCCAGTATGGCTGGCTCACAGATTATGTGAACAGGATAATGTGTTAAAAGACTAAAAATAGTGCTATTTTTCTTTTGTTTTGTTTCCTCTTTCTGGTGGTTCCTCCTATTGACTCTAACTCTTCCTTACAACATCACTAATGTGAAAATATGTTTAATAGGAATGTATATATACAGCTTACATCAGATTGTGTGCCGTCTTGGGGAGGCAGGGGGAGAAAAATTTAAAACTCAAAAGCTTATGGAAGTAACTGTTGATAAATCAAAATAAGTTAAAAAAAACTAGAAATAGGAAGGGGCTGAGTGGTAAAGAATTTTAAATGCAAATAGGAGAGTTTGTATTTGATTCTAGAGGTAACAGAGGAGTTAGCATTTTAGGAAAGGAATTTTGGCAGTTATATAGAAGATGGAATGGAATGGGGAGAAATTTGAAGCAGGAAGACAATTAGAAGGATACTGTAATAGTCCAGGTAAGAGGTGATAAAAGTTTGAACTGTGTGGACAGAAATGGAAAATTAGAAAAAAGTTTGGAAAACAGACCACAAACCTGACATAGATAACAATGGGATGAGAGACCTCAAATATCTAGAACTTTACTGGAGCTCTCCCTATTAAAAGCAGAGAGGCAAATAAAATATTCTTTTGTCTTAATGATAATTTCGTTCTCCAAAATGTGGAAGAATCAGAGAACTCTTATTGAGTTGTTTCTGACCGACAAGAAGGAATTGTTTTCTTAAGTAGAACATGGGAACTTTTGAGGAGATTAGAATTTATGGTAGTTGAGAGGAAATCTGGGCATAGCCTAATACCCTAGATTTTGAGAGAAGGGAGTGAAAGAATAAAAATTATTCCCTGGCTTAAAATTCTGTGTGGGGAAATTAGCCTAATACAGACGAGAAGAATGAAATTTCAAAGACGCAAATAGAAATACTTTCAAAGAAAAAGAACATGGGAGACTATCTAAAAAGGTCAATATAGATGTAAAGGAAGCCATTAATAGAAAAATTTATAAATTTAGTTATAGACGGGACTTCAGAAGTCAGTCATCTGGTGCAACTCCTGAATTTTACAGATGAAGAAATTGGGTTCCATCTAATTAAAGTGACTTGATCAAGGGGAAAAAAAACAGTAAAGTAGTAGATACAGGATTTGGACTCAGGCCCACAGACTTCAAATTTAACACTCATTCCACTGTGTCATGCTGTTGGTGGCCCTGTGTGCCAAGCTAACAAGAGTTCACAGGTATCTCTAGTTAAGAATTATCCTATGGACTATCAGAGACCATGAGCTTTTCTTATGAAACAGATAAGTAGTGGAAGGCAGCCCTTAGATATTTGTGATGGAGTGACTTAAAAATAAAGTTTGAGAGTTTTTCTTTTAGTGATTGCATTGATGCCAAGAATGTGATTGATTAATATAATTTTTGGGAAGTTGCAGGAATTTTATTTGTTGTATCAATATACTTATGGAAGATCATTAAGTGTAGAACCCTGGGTATTTTGAGGAGATTATGCATATATATATGTATATGTGTATATACGTGTGTGTACGTATGTATGTATACATTCTTGTTGCTGACCTCTGTAGCAACTTCTATGTTCAGAGTGAATGATTGAATCTTGAGTTGCGGGGCCACAGAGACAGTAAGTACTAAAGTTCAGATGGAGACAGGAATAGCTTTCTTGTGTTACTGGTTAAAGGAAATGCATGGAAAATCTTCATGGGACAAATATAGCATCTGGAATCACTGATGACAAGTCCTTACAAATGCTATATTTGGTTGGAATAGTTATGGGCCGCCAGCAATCTCTGCATTAGAAAAGAGAGCACCCTCCAATGGGGCTGTGTGCAAATCGACCTGGAGCTTGGTGAGTGATTCAGCTGGAATGCACATGAATTAGTCTGTTTCAGGATTACTAGTCCTTAAAACAGAGCCAACTCCTCTTCTCGCTAGCCCTCTGGAAAAATTGGTGAGGGTAGTCCAGAATTTAGGGTGGTTAAATTATGGAAGGTTGTAGCTGCTTATTTGAGAACTTGTGGAATGGCAACACTGTCAAAGGATAGAAATCTGGAATATTTCCTCATTGGGGTTTAAGGAGAAGCAGAAGTTCGCACTGTGTGGACAGGCCAGGTTGGGTAGATCTAGCTCAGGGCTAGAACTACACGGGATAGGATCATTGCTGTTAGTCATATACAAGCACAAATATGTTTGAGGCTGTGCTCTGAATGAAAGATGATAGCAGATGTTCATTCCAGGATTCTACTTTCCATTGTGGCCAAGGGGACTGTGGAGCAAAATAATGAGATGGATCTAAGATACTTTATTGCGCTTTCATCTTGCTGACTACTATGAAAGTTTTGATATGAATGGAATCTTTTTATCTTTGACCTACTTGAGGTATATCACTAACAGTGAGATCTCTGGGTCAAAGATTATAGACATTTTAGTAATTTTCTTAGTATAGTCCCATGTTTTCAGAATGGTTGGACCAATTCACAAATCAATCCATACAAATTTATGTTAGTATGTTTGTCTTTCCACAACCCCTCCAAAAGTAACTACTGACATCTTTTGTAATTTTTTCACAATTTTATGGGTATGAGATGAAGTTTCAATGTTTTGATTTGTGTATGTTATTAGGGGTTTAAATCAATCTTTAACATTCTTAACATTATTATTATCAATACTGTTAACATTATTATTATTATCATTGTATGTATTCCTTTTATTAAGAATTGTCTTTTCATATTCTTTGACCTTATACATTAGGAAAGACTGCCACAGTAAGGCTGTGTAAGGCCTTAGGTAAGTGCTTAATAAACATTTATTGACTGACTGACTGAATAGCTCTTAGTCATATATTTCTGATAATTCCTATGTGTGTCAGATAGCAGGTCCTTGTTAGAGATATATGAGGCAACAAATTATTTTTCAATAAAGCACTTCCCTTCTTATCTTAGTTTGCATTGATTTTGTTCATGTAAAAACTTCTCAAGCCCATGCAGTCAACTTTATCTGTTTTATCTTTTGTGACAGACTCTATCCCTTGTGTTGGTTAAGAACTCTCCTAGCCATAATTGTGAAATATACTGATCTAGTTGTCTTATAGATTTTTATAGCATGTCCTTTTACATTCAGTAAGAGGTAGAGAGAAAATGGCTAATTTTGATTACAAATTTTTTAAAAAGTTTTTGCACAAACAAATCCAATAAAGCTAAGATTGAAGGAAAATAGTTAATTAGGGGGAAATCTTTGAAGCAAGTTTCTCTGGTAAAAGGCTTATTTCCAAGATATGTAACAAATTGGTTTAAATTTATAAGAATAAGAACCCTTCGGGGCAGCTAGGTGGTGCAGTGGATAGAGCTCCGGCCTTGGAGTCAGGAGGACCTGAGTTCAAATCTGACCTCAGACACATAACACTCACTAGCTGTGTGACCCTGGGCAAGTCACTTAACCCCATTGCCTCATCAAAAAAAAAAAAGAATAAGAACCATTCACCAGTTGATTAATGGCCTAAGTCTATGAACTTTATGATATTTGGTACGTATACATTTAACAATGATTTTTTTCATTATGATACTTTTAAGCGTAATGTTATTCCCTTGCTTATCTCTTTTGACAGTATCAGTTTTTACTGCTGCCTTATCTGAAATCACAATTGAAACTCCTTTAAAAAAAAAACTCACCTGAAGCAAAATAGATTTGGTTCCAGCTCCTAGTTTTGACTGGAATGAGTGCTTTAAACAAGTTTCTAATATGAAGCAAACTATTCAGTTTATTCAGTCTTGTTTTCTTATCTATTCTGAAATTCTTTTCTGTTTTATTGGTGAGCTTAATCCATTCATAGCTAGTTATAGTAGTTAAGTTTGGGTTCTCTTCCATTAAATTATGGGTTTCTTTTTCCTTCCAAATCAGCACTAGGTGTCTGGGCTTTGTTTTGTTTACATTAATCTAATCCTAAACTGTTCCACAGATCTGCCTTTCTGTACTCCCCATTACCCTACCTAAGCCAAAATTCCTTTAATGTACTTTTTATTATTCTTATTATTATTTTCTGTGTGGCTGAATGTCATGCTGCAAGTCATGCAATCTTGCTGACTGTGTTCCCTACCCATTTCTTTAATCTATTCACCACAAGGCAATCTTTTCACTCTTCCCTAATTGATTCCCTGTCTCACCCTCCACAACACACTTACCAACCTTTTCTTCTATTTTCAAGCCTCTCACATCACTTTCTCCCTTCAGTCTCTCGGCAAAGGATACTGCTTCAGGCTTTACTCAGAAAATAGAGTCCATTCACCCTCTTCTCCACTGCTTTACATCTCAAATCCCTTGATATAATCCTCTATTCTTTCCTTATTTATTCCAATCTTTGCTGAAGAGGTGGTCCTTCTCCTTTCTAACAGCAACCCTTGTATTTGTACCTTTTATCCCATTCCCGCTATTTTTGCCAGATCCTTCCCACCTCCACCTCCCATTATTCTCTCTTCTCTGTAAGTTTTCATTATGCCTCTCTCTCTCTCTCTCTCTCTCTCTCTCTCTCTCTCTCTCTCTCTCTCTCTCTCTCTCTCTCTCTATGATCATCCATATCATATCCCCTAACTGCAAGTATATGCCAAGACCCTGTCCTGAGCCCTCTTTTCTTTCTTCACATTCTCTCTCTCGATGACATCATCAACAGTATACTTTCTATTACATGCCACTGGGGTCTATGTATTGTTTGTTTACAAAATCTGGGTTCTAAAAAAAAGGCACCCAATTTGTTCTTTAAAGTATTATAAAGTTAATCTAACAAGTATTTAAGCATATAGTTTATGCGAAATAATGTGTGAGACCCTAGGGACTCAAAGAAAAAAAATTCCTGTCTTTAAGGGGCTCACATTTCCCTGGAACCCTGGAAACATTTCCATGGCAATTATCTCATGCTCGTTGAGGGTAAGAAGGATGGAACACAATTAATTTACAACAATCATAAAGAAAAGGTAAGGTTCAGTTGAGATCCTACTCAAGTTGCTGCATATTTCAAATTTTCAGTGTCCAAAGCAGTATGCTTTAACCTCAGCACACAAAGGGCAGCTGTTTGAGGAGCATCCTGAGCACTTGGGAAGTAATGCATTAAGTGATTGTGAGTCCCAGGGAGGATGAGAAGTTAGAAATGATGGCCTCTACCTTATTTATGGGCATTTTGGACCCAGAAATCAACCCTTGAGATTATTAAAAACAGGTAGAAATTTCCAATAAAACCCCATATGGCAATAAGAATACCTACCTTTATGTATTCCAAAAGCTGCATATTGTCTCTTGAAGCTTTAGCTCACTCTCTTCATCAAATGGCAAAAAATAATTCGAGTTTTTAAAGATATACTTATAAAATCTTCCCATGTAAGCAAAGTAGATGTTCATTGACTAGAGATTTGGTGGGAAAAAATATAGATATAGATATATTATGTGAATGTACTGTCATATTACTGTGCATTAAGAAATGACAAATTTGAAGAATTTAGAGAAACATGGAAAGATTTATATGAACTGATACAGACTGATGTAAACACAGCCAGTGAAACCAGTGAAGGTCTTAGAAAAATAATAACAACCTTATCTTTCACAGAAGAGGTGTGTGTGTGTGTGTGTGTGTGTGTGTGTGTGTGTGTATGTGTGTTAGAGATAGGAGTTTGTAGAGCAAAATATTGTATATGCTCCTAGGCAAAGTTTCTGTATCTGATGTTTTTGTTTGAATGATTGTAACATGAAGACAAAAGATAGCAATAAAATGAATTTTTAAAAATAGTGATAAAACCTTCCCAAAGGATTATATGCTCCCACCCTAAAATTTCCAACAGAAAAAAAAAACATCAAGAAATTAATACAGTTTATTTATTTCACTGATACAACTGGCTTCAATACCATTCAAATCAAATCTTTGTTGAAAATGCCTTTTCAGAACTGGCTTTTTAAAACTTCAAATAAACTGAACAGTGCAAGATTTGGAATTAGAAGAACGGAGTCCAAATGTTACTTTAGACATTTAGGAGCCATGTAATCATAGGCAAATGGGTAAGAAAGCCTGGGTTCAGATCCTCCCACTATCACTTGTACATGTCATCTGATCTTCCTAGGGCTTATTTTACTTACCATTTGTACTGCGGAGGCATTGGGACAAGTCATTTGTGAGGTCCTTTCCAGCCTTAAATCTCTGATCCTGAGAAATTCTTGGAGACCTAGTTTTTTCATCTTTATGTTGCGGTAAACAATATTTGCAAAACCTATCTCACATATGTGTGTCTGCTGTCATGAACCAGAAAGTTATAACTTCCTTCAGGGTTAGACATAGGTTTTTAAAATGGTGTATCATAGAAATATTTTTAGAATTTAATGTGGCTGCATTCACCTAACCTCCAGTTTTCACACATGATAACAAGAAGATAATCTTTTTTGCTTTTCTTTTGCTTTTTCTTCTTTCTTCTCTCCCTGGACCACAATGAGGAGGGTAAAGGGAAATATTAAGACATATTCTAAAACATCACTAATTGAAATATGAACAACAAACTTCCCTCACATCATTTAAATAATGACATATGAATAGCATGGAGTTTTGTAATGTGGAAGCATTCCTATTATCATAATTTACATTTGCATATGGCTCTACAGTTTTCAAAGTTCTTTCACTTACATCATCTGGTTGATTCTTACACTAAAACATGAAGATAAGCAGTGACTAAGAGTAATAATAGCTCACATTTTATAGAACTTTAATGTTTGCAAAGCAATTTACCTACATTACCTCATTTGCTTCTCACAAACTTGAGGCATAGATGCTATTATTATCCCTATTTTATTTTATTTTAGGCAATTGGGGTTAAGTGAGTTGCCCAGGGTCACACAGCTAGTGAGTGTTAAGTGTTTGGTCTGAGGCCGGATTTGAACTCAGGTCCTCCTGACTTCAGGGCCAGTGCTCTATCCACTGTGCCAGCTAACTGCCCCATCCCCACTTTATAAATAAAGGAACTGAAACTCAAGAAAAGTTCAGTGACCCCTTTCCAAAGGAGAGCTTAAGCTACTGAATGTATGAAAAAAGATTTAAACTTAGTCTCCCTGACTCCAAGTCCAGCAGTATCCGCTGAACTGTGCCACAGTCATTCATAATTGTTGGATACTGTTACTCCCATTTTACAGATGTGGAAACTGAGGATTCAAGAGGCGAAATGATTTGGCCAGGGTGAGGCGGTCAGTTATGGTGGAACAGAGATGGAACTCTTTTGTTTGACTGCTATCCAGCTTTCTTCCATCAAACCACCTTCCACATTTGTCCATACGAGCAAAAACACATTGGGTATGCTTGAATTGGAGAGTAATCACAAGTTCATCAGATGATTTCATATGCCTTCTGGCAGACTGATAAGCCTCAAAGCAATTAATATCTGTAATTGCAAACTCTGATCTGAGTGAAGCATGGGTGACCTGCCAAAGGAAAACAGTTGACAGCAGGTTTTGAGCTGCTTTTCATTGGCAAACTTCATTTTCCTATAGCAACGTTAACAGCACCTCGATGTGAATAGCTGTTTTGTAGCAAGTGTCATCATTCTCTTTGTTGGCTGGCATTGCAGGGATATCAGTTATCGCACACAGCCCTAAAATGCAGGGCAAATCTAGTTTCAAAGATTTGGCAATTTACCTGTACAATGGAGACTGGTTAAATTTTTAAGGACCAAACTTTTTCTCCTCTTGAGCTTAGATGAGTAGCATGATCTGAGGAATGTTGGTTGATGTTAGGGAAAAATGTGTTGATCAAAGTTTACATTCAGTGAGATAATAAGTCTTTGATTGGATAGAATTTGCTAGAATTATAAAGCATTGATGCAGAAAGGAGCTTTGGAGATCATCTAATCCAACCAACTTTGAGAACCAGTACCCTAGAGTGTGAAGGAGACAAACATTATGTAAATTTCCATCCTGAGTAGCAACTATCAATTTCCAATGGGAATAACTTTTTTTTTGGTAAAAAGGGGAGTCTAGTGTGATGAAAGGGGGTTGTGAGTAAAAGGGGGAAAAAGCAATGATCACTATAAACTGCCATGGTCTCTTTAAGAAAAAGACATGCCAGAACAGCCTTTTTTTTTTTACAGTGTTACTATATTGATGCCACAGATATAATTTAGTTATATTTTAGTGAGGCTTTGATAATATTTCTTGGTTTTTTTCTCCTTGCAAAAATGCATGTTGGATGAGGATATGGTTAGGTATATTTGAGAGTGGCTTAATGACCACATCCAAATGCTAATAAGTAATTGAAATGTCACCTTGTAGGAAGTACCATAAAATCTTGTCCTTGACATCATTCTGTTAATCATTTTTGTCAGTGACTTGAATGAAGATTAGAGTGGAATGTTTATCTCATTTTCAAGTGACACACAATTAGAAGGGATGATAAATATGTTGGATGACAACATTGGAATCACAAAAGAACTATCCCCTGAATTAAATGAAAGGAAATTTGATAGATCCTGCTCCTAAGTTATTTATTTATTAATTACTTAGAGATGCAGTTTGATCAAAAGTTCCCATGATAATTTGGATATATCTAGAAGGGTGAACAAGACGTGGAGGAAATACAAAACCATGCCCCATGAGGATCTAATGAAGGAAATTGAAAAGAAAAAATTGGGAGGCTGTCCATATGGAGAAAGGATTCGTCTTATTTGGCTTGTTTGCAGAGGAAATAGCTAGTACTAATGGATGAAAATTACTATTAAGCCTATTTCAGAATGATGTAAAAAGAAACCTCTTAATGTAAAAAGAGTTTTTCCAAAGTAGAATGGACTGCTTAATGAGGTAGTGAGTTCCCCATCCCTGCAAGTCTTCAAGCAAAGGCTTTATTGGCTACATGTCAAGGATATTATAAGAAAAATTTCTGTTTCAATGCAGAGATTCTGCTAATGCATGACTTTTTTTAATTGTCTGTTCTTAACTGACCTGAGTTTGAGACTGAATTGACAGACAGATTTGACCTCATTTGGACACAGCCTAGGAGGCAGAATCAAAGAAGTGATCTCTTCACAGAAAGGCAGACAAAATACCGTATGAAAAGGCCACAAAGCTCCTGCCCCAGTGAGGTATCTACAATGGCGTGGAGTTATTCAATATTTACAATGCTTGTTAACATCCCAAGGGCTATCCTGCAAATCAATGACAACAATTAAAGTGATACTCATTGCATTTAAGGGCCCTGGGCTGATCCCCAGATGAGAATGACGTTCACTCAGAAGTTGTATAATATTCATGACTATAGGCATAAAGCAATCAGCTCTAAATGATGAGACTCTACAATAACAAAGACCTCATGCTATCAGCCAGGCTAAGAGACAGGGCTGCAAAATGATAGGCCCTGCAGGCAAAGGCCGTAGTCTTTATCCAAAGGATAGATTCATCAGCCTGGCAGGGGCTGCCAAGCACACATCAGTCTTTTCTTCCACACATACGTACAGAGAAAATCACACCATCGGCTACGTCATCTTTGACTACAGAGAACTACAATGTGAAGGTTTTAGGTTTGACGTGCTTTTCAGAGGAGGTTAAACAGAGGATGCTATCACCAATCTGAGGCTTAATAATGTGCTTTTACTTCTGAAAGCGATAGCCTACACAGATGCCAGGCTATGATTTTTGCGGATCCATTCCCATTTCACGTTTCAGTCTGCTATTCCTCAGCCTACCCAGAAAGAAAGCATTGTGCAATGATTATTTCCTCCCAGCAAGCTTTCTCTCTGAGCCAATCAGCAGTGATGTGTGTGGGCCCTCTATCCAGCATGTTTAAATCCCACCAATTAATATAAGGAGAGAGGTTTGCTATTTAGAATATTTTATACAAAGAACAAAAGAATGCCATTTCATACACAATGTAAGAACCAGTTTCTACTGTTTACTATTCCATCCCCTGTTATCTAGCCACTTTATCTCCATGGATTTCTTCCAGGAGATAAATCTT